CTCCCCCTCCCTCCCTCCCCCCTGCAGCCACAAGCCTGCTCTCTACGTCTGTGAGTCTGTTTCTATTTAATAGATAAGTTCATTTGTGTCATATTTTAGATTCCACATATAAATGATATATGATATTTGTCTTTGTCTGACTTATTTCACTTAGTATGATAATCTCTAGGTCCATCCACGTTGCTGCAAATGGCATTATTTCATTCTTTTTTATGGCTGAGTAATATTCCATTGTACACATGTACGACATCTTCTTTATCCATTCATCTGTCGGTGGACATTTAGGTTGTTTCCATGTCTTGGCTATTGTGAATAGTGCTGCTATGAACATTGGGGTTCTTGTATCTTTTTGAATTATAGTTTTGTCCAGATATATGCCCAGGAGTGGGATTGCTGGATCATATGGTAGCTCTATTTTTAGTTTTTTAAGGAGCCTCCATACTGTTTTCCGTAGTGGCTGCACCAACTTACATTCCCAAAATACCCATATTTTTAAAAACTGACAGTGTTGTGAATAGCCCCCTCCAATATGACAAGCTGAAAAGTAAAAGGCATTTTAAAGAGAAGATTTTCAAACACAGATCATGAATGTAAAAGGTAAAGGGAGATTCTTTGCCAGCTTTTCTTGGTGAGAGAAAAATGATGCTCCTAGCGTTTTGCAGGTCTAGGAGGGAGCCTCTTTGCTTGCATAGTTTATGCCAACATGGATTGTGTATAGGAAATTTGTTGTCACTAATAAATAACTAAGTCAACTGACCCTTACATAAAACATCTCAAAAAGAGTGTCTTCAAGCACTGGCCTGGGGTTGGACAAAGCTGTGTTCTTACAGATATGGTGAGCAGGTGAATTTTAGAGAACTGGATGTTCGATGTTATTCAGCCTGAAAAAAGAAGGAAATCCTGTCACCTACATCAACATGGATAAACCTTGGGGATATTATATTAAGTGAAATGAGCCAGACACAAAAAGACAAATACTTGTGATTCCACTTCTGTGAGATGTCTATAGCAGCCAAATTCACAGGAACAGAAAAGTAGAATGGTGGTTCCCAGGGGGTGTGGAGACCAGCAAAAGGAGAGTTATTGTTTAATGGATAGAGTTTTTCAGATTTGTAAGATGAAATGGTCTGTTTCACAAAAGTGCAAATATACTTAACAGTGCTGAACTGCACACTTGCAAATGGTTAAGATGGTAATAAGAGAGAGAGAGAGACTGGAATCAGAAAACTAAGCAAGTAGTCTGGAGTCTTCTAATAAAATGTAATATTATTTAGAGATGAGGGACATTGCTAAATAATTCAGGGCCCTATTCTCCTAGGGTATTAAATTACTCTTTGTGAAAAAGGTTCACAAGCTTTTATTTTTCCTGATTTTCCTGAAATTCATGAACCGTGGCTCTGGGACTATGGGACCAAGATTTAGGAGGCCTGGTCCTTGGTCCAAGCTCAGCAGTTAGCCATTGAAAGTCTATTTTTATGCTGCTAAATTACTAAGATAATTTAGTAATTATTTTATATTACTAAAGCATAGATGTATGTATACTAACTCCTAGAATAAATTGAACATTGACCAAGTGCCAAGCACTCTGCTTAGCATTTGGCCTGTTCAATCTCCACAAGTGGAATTGGACCAGAGAGCTTAAGTAACTTTCCCAAAGTCACTCAGCTTGTGCATTACAAACTTCGGACTCTGAACTCATTTCTTCTGCCTGCAAAGGCCGTGCTCGGAACCATGAAACTACACTGGAGCAGAATAGGGAAGTCACATGAAACATAAAAATTCTAAGAAAGTTTGCAGAAAAGTTAAAGCAATCCTGACAGAATGAGGTCTCTATAAATTCCGTTCCTCTGAAATTGAGTTATTTGTAGTGAAGTGGATGGACCTAGAGTCAGTCATACAGAGTGAAGTAAGTCAGAAAAAGAAAAACAAATACTATATGCTAACACATATATATGGAATCTAAAAAAAAAGAAAAGAAAAAAAAGTAGTTCTGATGAACCTAGGGTCAGGACGGGAATAAAGACGCAGACGTAGAGAATGGACTTGAGGACACGGGGAGGGGGAAGGGTAAGCTGGGACGAAGTGAGAGAGTGGCGTGGACATATATACACTACCAAATGTCAAATAGATAGCTAGTGGGAAGCAGCCGCATAGCACAGGGAGATCAGCTCGGTGCTTTGTGACCACCTAGAGGGGTGGGATAGGGAGGGTGGGAGGGAGACGCAAGAGGGAGGAGATATGTGGATATATGTATACATATAGCTGATTCACTTTGTTATAAAGCAGAAACTAACACACCATTGTAAAGCAATTATACTCCAATAAAGATGTTTAAAAAATTTAATAAATAAATAAATTCCGTTCCTCTCATTCCATCCACCCTGGTGAAACCACAACCTGGGCTCTTGCCAGCCTGTAACCTCCCAAACTCTAGCAGCTCTAGCCTTGTTCCTCTACAACACAGAAGTTTGCATATACCGAATTAGTGCAGAATTGAGTCCGGTTACTAAATTCAGCTCATGAGAAGTTTTGATCCAGTCTCAAAGTTCTTTTTTTTTTAGATTTTTTTCTTTTTATTTATGTATTTTTTATTTACTTTTGGCTGCTGTGCACGGGCTTTCTCTAGCTGTGGCGAGCAGGGGCTACTCTTCGTTGTGGTGTGCAGGATTCTCATTGCGGTGGCCTCTCTTGTTGCGGAGCACGGCCTCTAGGCGCACAGGTTTCAGTAGTTGTGGAGCGCGGGCTCAGTGGTTTTGGCGCACGGGCTTAGCTGCTCTGCGGCATGTGGGATCTTCCCAGACCAGGGCTTGAACCCGTGTCCCCTGCATTGGCAGGTGGATTCTTAATCATTGCGCCACCAGGGAAGCCCTCAAAATTCTTAATATACTCTCATAGAAGACTTTGTGCCCCCAAAGAAACAAATTATTCATATGTGCTTGAAAGTGCTAAATGCAAATGCTTTGAAGAGAAAGTCATACAAGCAAAGAAAACACATATTTTTTGTGATTTGCCAAGTTTGGTCCTCTTTTTAAGGTAACCAGGCATTGATTTGAACACAAACACACACCAGCTGGCTGAAATAAGTGCATTTATAAGTAAATATTTAGTGGGCCGATTTCTGGCCCGCTTGAAACACTCAGTTCCAAGAAGATAAGAAAAATAAGTGTTCCTTAAAATAGAAAATGTGGCTATAATGATAATGGCTCATAGAAAGATAAGTCTAAATTAATCTGTGGCTGGAACTATTAAAAAGTTGTTAATATTAAAGGAACCATCATTTCTGCCCTTATATTCAGAATACTTTTTCACTAAATTATATTTCACTTTTGTGAGTTTGCTTTTAAATAAATCATGGTTTAAAATAAATTATAAAATTCTAATGGCACATTAACATAATAGAAACTGAAAGGCAAAACCGCAATCCGACAAAATACCATTCTTGCCCACTCTGCACCTGCACCCACATGGCTGAAACCAGACTAGAGAAAACCAACCACCCCTGCTGGGCATCCTCAGTCGAAATAAGGGCTCCCAGCCTTAAGTGGGCCTCCATATTGTTGAGTAATGGCAGCCTCCTGATCTCCCAGATGACTATTTCATACCTTCTTCTCTATCCTCAAACCTCTAATCCCACCTTCCCCAGGTTCACTCTCAACTGGTGACCTGGACCTTGCTGCCTATTTCACTGAGAAAAGAGCCATCAGGAAAACCCCAGCCTGCTGTCACCTCCACATCGTGCGTCTTCCCTGGCATTTCTCTGGTTGAACTGTCCACGCTCCTACCCAAGGCCAAGCCCTCCACCTGGGCACTAGAGCCCATCCCTTTCGCCAACTCAAGGGCATGGCTCCAGAATTCGCCCCATTCCTCCTGCAGCATCTGTTTTTCCCTGTTTACTGAATCATTCCTGTAAGCATCCAAACACGCTACCATTGTTCCCCATCTTAAACGAAACAAAAACTCTCTTATCACCACTTCCCCTGCAGCTGACTTCTCTCTCTTGGCTTCCCTTTAGAGTAAAACTCCTCTCGAGGGGGGCACTGCCTCCAATTCTCCTCCCATTGTCTCTTAACCCGCAGTTTTCCCCACCACTCTGTCTGGGTTCCCAATGTCCTGCCAATGACCAAACATCCCACTTGACTTATCAGCTATCTCTGACTCAGACCATCCCTCCTTGGAGTCCTCCCTCGACACGTGTTTTTCTCTTGGCTCCTGGGACCTCACACATTCTTCTTCCTGCTTCACCGACTCTTCCTTCTCAGTCCCTTTCCAGGTTGCTTCTCCTCTTCCTGACCTCCCAGGTGTGGAGCGCCCCAGGGCTCAATTCTCAGACAGCTTTTCTTCTCTAGCTTCACCGTCTCCATTGGCAACAGCGTCCAAACCCAAACCAAACTGCTATCTCCAGCCTGGTCCCCTCCCCTCAGCTCCAGATCCCCATTCCACAAATGACTATGGACGCATAAAAGGAATCTTGAACAGAACAAGCCCTCCACCCCCAAACCTGTTTCTCCCAAAGTTTCTCCAGCTCAGTAACTTCATCCAGTAACTTCATCCCTCCTGTTGCTCAGGCCAAGAGCCATGGAGCTAGCCATTGTCTTCCCTCCTTTTCTCACACCCCATCTAATCTCCACAGGCAAATCCTACCACCTCTATTTTCAAAATATATCCAGAATCTGACCCTTTCTCATTCCTTGGCTAATGTCATTCCGGCTTAAGGCTCAACTCCTGCCTTACTCAGTAACCTCCTAATTGGTCCCCCTCCTTCCCCTCTTACCCCAGACAGTCTAGACTAAAGTGGTGCTGATCTTCTGCTCAAACCCTGCACAACGGCTCCGAAAATAAAAGCCCAAGTCCTTTCAATGACCTTGATCTGCCTCCCTTTTTCCCTGAGTGTGTCTCCCGTGTCCCCCTCCCTCGTTCACTCAGTCTAGTCACGCTCGCCTACTTGTTCTCTCTGCTTGGAGCTTTCTCCCCACAGATTTCCACGTGGTTTGCTCCCTTACCTCCCTCTGGATACTGTTGGTCCCCTCTGTCTTCTGGTTCTCAGCTGGGTCTCTGTAACAAAAGACAGATTAACAGGAGAAAAGCTACAAAGTAGCCTTCCAAAGGAAATGAAGACCTAAAGGAAGGTTCAGCCTGAGTGTTTTCACACTGGGTGTGATGAAGGTTGATGGGACAAAGGGTAAGAGCTAAGGGCGGAGAACAGAGGGAACTTAACAAGGCCAGTTTGTTGGAATTCCTCTCAGAGTCCCTTTGTCTTCAGAGATAAGGATGCTCCTTTCTTATGAGTATAGAGAGGGCCCCTCCCACACAGGGTCTTAGGACCTGCTTCAGGGGGCATCAGAGAGTCCTTCCAGTACCTGCTGTTTCTCACATTCTTTCAGCTTAAAATATTTAGTATGTTGAGGTGCTGTATTCTAGGGTACAGTGTTATGAACCCTGTCGCCACACCATTTAAAATTCCAACCCACAGTCCCTACGTCCTCCCCATGCAGCAATCATGTTCCTCTTTTCTTTTATATAACATATTATTCTACTTACCTTTTAATTGTCTGCTTCCCCTCAGCCCAAATGTCAACTATATAAGGGCAAGGTGTTTTTTTTTTTTCCATGTTATTCACAGCGATATCCCTAGCACCTCTAATACTGCCTACCACGATTATTTTGAATGAATGAGTGAAAGAATAAATGAGCCATGGTTAATGATATAGATATATTTTATTATACACCACCGTGTACCTGGTTCTTGTGTGTTTTTCTCGTTTAATCTTTGCATCTCTGTAGTGCTTATTTCTATCCCTGTTTCGCAGATGAGAAAATCAGAGTCACAGAGGAGTTAATTGACTACCAAAGACATGCAGCTACAAGTGACAGAATCAGGTTTCAAACCCAAGTCTGTTTGGCCCCAAAGCCAGTGATCTGACAGTTCACTTTATTTCACAGCATTATAGCTCTGGCTCCAATCCTCACCGTCAACAGACATGCAGTCACCAAATCACAAATCAAGATCGGGGTTTCTGTGGGCTTCCCTGGTGGTGCAGTGGTTGAGAGTCCGCCTGCCGACGCAGGGGACACGGGTTCGTGCCTCCGTCCGGGAGGATCCCACATGAGGCGGAGCGGCTGTGCCCGTGAGCCATGGCCGCTGAGCCTGTGCATCCGGAGCCTGTGCTCCGCAACGGGAGAGGCCACAACACTGAGAGGCCCGCGTACCGCAAAAAAAAAAAAAAAAAAAAAGATCAGGGTTTCTGAGTGGTCCCCAGATGGGATAGCACACCACAGGGACAGCGGTCCACCTCCCTTTACAGGCTGTTGTGAGTCTTGAGTTTTTTGAAAACATTTGAGTGTTTGGAACATTCTGGGTGATCAGTTTACCAAAGATCAGTTTCTGCAGTTTAACATTGGTTCTAAGTGATGCTCATATTCTTTCCAAACAACTGCCTTCAATGAAAAGGGAAGTTGACTCTTTCAGAAAGAAGAAAGAGAATAAAATATTTCAGAGAGATATAGGATATCTGTATAGAATATTTCTGGTAGAATAGACAAGAAGCTGATGACAGTATTGTTTCTAGAAAGAAAAATGAGGGATTAGGGAACAAGAAAGGGAGGGGGACTTACTTCTCTCTCATATACCAGTTGTACCTTCTGAAGTTTTGTGCCATGTGCATTAAATAGCTTCTAGAAATAAGAAAAATGTAAGAATCACAATGAGGGCAGTGTGCCCTGTCTGGCCTTCCCCGCCCCCCAACTCCCCAAGCCCCCAGAGGGCAGCGACGATGACTCCCTGCAGACGGAAGCACTCCATCCTATGATGATCACCGAGGGGATTTAAGTCACTTAAGCTCTCCCAGGGCCTCAGTTTCACCATCTACAAAGTGAAGATAATAATTAGAGCTTGGCTTACTTTATGTACTGGGATCTGTTGCGAGATAGCACATTCTAAGTGTAAAACATTATACATGGGTAGTTCTCATTATTTTTTAGGAAAAAGCCAGGTTTGGTGGATGAGAAAGGCAGCTCACTGAGCTACGGAACATGAAATGGGGCCAGGATAGCAATCATAACTGTCTCCATGTATCATAATAAGTTCTTGGAAGTAAGAAAATCGTTGGAAAATCTGTTGCTTGGTCTCAAAAATATTCATTTTAAATTTAAAGAGTACAAGCAAGATTATCATTTGCATTATTACAGCTCCTCTATTCTCTGGTCTTAGGATAATTATGTGAATTTTAGTCATCCTCTAAATTGTTCTTTTATTCTCACAAAGTACACACTAGCTGGAATTTAGAGAACTGGAAAGATCTGCAACTCATTTATAGAATTGCAAGAATCAAATAATGGCAAGTTTTCAAATTATGTCATAGATTACTCTGAATTTTAAAATACTAAAGTTAGATTTGCAACTCATTTATAGAATTGCTAGAATCAAATAAATGGCACATTTTCAAAGTGATGTCATAGACTACTCTGAATTTTAAAATACTAAAGTTATCAGCTGGGTTCTAGATGCAGCCCTGCCTTGAGACACAATAATGATTGTATTAAAACTCATGGAAAAACTGTGAAATAATTTGATTTGTGGCTATAGATAAGAGGATCAAAACAATGGGTAATGTGTAGGATTAATTTTTAAGCCATACATTGAGCAGTCAGTGAAGTAAACTGGTATTTTTCAAAAAAAGACAACTGCGTTGCTTTATCGGCCAGTTTACCTAAAACATAGCATTAAATACAAAAACAATGTAGGCATGAAGGGCATGTATTTCAGGACCATTTTGGAATCTGTTACTCTTGTTCATTAGGTATTTTATACCATTTAATGTAGTGGAGACACATTCTATCCTAAAATGTTTGACACACCTCTAGAGGGTTCGCCATTTGGGGAGAACTTTTAAAACTTCATTTTCTCTTTTTTTATGATTTATTTCCTCCGTCCCTTTTGTCTTGGTATCTGTAGGGGATGTGATATGATTTTCCTCCTCTTCCAAATCAGGTCCTTCCAAAACAAAACAAAGCTCTGAGCTTATCTAATCAATCAGAGGACCACTTCCCTTTTCCCCCTCCGTCACCTGCTGGTTTCAAATGGAGCGGGAGAGAAGGCGTCCTGGCTCTGCCACTTTCTGTGTTTACCTGAGGCCTGTGGCTGAGGCCCCTTGCTTTCTGCAGCTGTGTAATGGTCTATTCTTCCGCTCACAGTGCGTGGGAGGAGCAAGGGAAGTGATCTGAAAGTGGTTTGTAAACTGTAATGCCCCACACAAAAGTGCAAGATTATGACTTTAAAAAATTAATTAGAAAAGGGAGCAATCTTCCTCTCATCATTTCCTGTGTCTCTCTCCTCACTTCTTCCTCCCGGCCCCTCGCTGTCTCTCCTTCCTTCCCCCGCTCTAATAGCTTTCCCAGCTGCGAACAAACCACACAAGTAAGGGTAACAAGAGCCCAGGGTCTGAACCGTTAGAACGAAACCAGGCAAGAGTCAATACGCATTACACCCAAATTACTGAGAAATATGAAATGAAGACTAGCTCAGAGCCAAATTCCAGGAAGATGCTGTATTTTGATTTACTTACCACTTTGTGTTTTTGTATTTGCCCAGTTCTTAAAGCTTCGGTTATTAGTCTTCCACTTCGTAATGCAAGAAAGTAAATGCTGACTCGTGTCATTTGCCCCAGATGCCTCCAGAAATGGCCTCTTCTCCCCAGACGCTGGCTCACAAACGGAGCAGCACCCAGAGGTGAACTTATCTGCCTTGCAGCCCAGGCTCTGGGCTCTCCAACCTGACACGTCAACCTCCAGCTGAGAAAGGAGTCTGTCTAGGAAAAGAACTAGAATCAACTGAGAGGCACAGTTTTTAATCACCAGTTACTTTAATGAGTAAGTACTTTCCAGTTTTTCCATTTTATTTTAAGCATTAATTTTGCATTTCTGACCAGCCTTTTTCGGGATCCTCATTTCTTGGGCATTTTGTATAGGAAGAAATCACCATCCTAGCCCAGTCCATCGTACCCCCACTTAACTGAAGAGCCCTAGAGAGACAACCATTATTATTGTAATATTATTTTGTAATAAGGATTTATGACTGATAAGCTACTAAATCTCTAAAAGGAGTAGCAAGGAGACAGCCAGCTGTGAACTGGAGAAAGGAGGTGACACGTCTATTGTCTGTGTAATCTTGTATGTTGTGGTTGACCACAACAGCTTGGCATCAGTTATGACACCCAGATCCACCTTTTATAAAATGGATGACCTTGGTCAATGACTCAATCTTTTAATTTTCGAAGGTGTAAAATGGAGAGAATAAAGTACCAATTTCATACGGGTCTTAAGAGGAATAAATACTGAACATACTGTCGGAGTGGGTACTAAATAACGTGACTAAGTAACAAGTTAACTTAGTAAATAATAAGCTAGATTTCATTGGAAAGCTCCCTTAACTGCTAAATCCCATCCCCCAAATTGCTGAGCTGACTCTGAATAACAACAATTAACATCGTGGAGTTTACAGAGCATTTCCTTTCATTTCCACAATTAACCCTGAGGTAGGCAGTGCTGTTAGCTTAGTTTTGTTACTGAGGGATAAGGGAGAAGCTGAGAGCTCTCCTGAGCATGTGGCAGGAAGAAACTCTTCGGTCCCAACTCAGGTCTCAAGGGAGGAAAGCACGACTTGGGAAAGGCCTGGCGTCAGAAGTGAGCCGGTGCCTTCAGTTCTCCAGCCTAGATTCTCATTTCCTCAGCCCCCTCCCCTCCTGCACTTCATCCCTCCTCCTGTTCCCAGCCTTGGGCTTGAAACTGGGGAAATCTTTGACATACGTACACTAATACGTATAAAATAGATAACTAATAAGAACCTGCTGTATAGCACAGGGAACTCCACTTCGCTATGCAGTAGAAAGTTACACAACATTGTAAAACAACGATACCCCAGTAAAAAACAAAATTAAAAAAAATGCTTTCTGAAAGTAAGAACAAAACCTTTTCATGGCCCAGAAAAACATAAAAATTAAAAAAAAAAAGAAACTGGGGAAATGTACACGGAAAGCAGTGAGAACCCAGGGCTTCCAGATCCCTCTACCAAAGAGAGGTGCTAGGCAGCAGGGCAGACAGAGACTGGCTCTGAGAATCCTATTTTTCCATTCAAGAGCTTTGTTCGCCATTGAAACACTATTGCACCTAGTATCTCAATACTATGTAATATTAATAATAATACCCACAGCAATAATAAAATAATATTCATTTTAAAAGCTCTTCTGGGCAATCTCCCTAGAGAAACATAGGGACCATCTCTTCCATTTCACGGTTGAACACACAGAGGTAAAGTCAGCACTGGCAGTGGCAGAAACCCTCAGCCTGCTGACTCAGCCTAGGGTTCGCACGGCTGGTTAAATGGGCTTTTGTGGCCATTCCTGAAGACAGAATTTTCAGGATCCAACCTGTTAATCACTTGAAAGCAGTTTGGTCATTATTAGCGCCACCCACGCTCTTTTCAGTCGTGGAAACTTTTACTCAGCCACTGAACCTAGAGTAGTTAGAATCTAGAGTAGGCAACGTAAGAACAGAAAAGTTTGAAACATTAATGTAGCTTTAGGGCAGCACTGACTTTCCCACTGACCCACTCAGAAGAAGAGCTGACAATCAGTGACGGAAACAACTAGGTTGATTTCGTAACTGCCTTGTTTTCACATGGAAAAATTGAAAGCTGTGCACACGGCATTGCTTTGTTTTGTTTTACGACAGAGAATAAAAAGGAAAATTACATGCAAATTTTTTTCCTAGGTAAGATTATTTTTTCCTCTTGATTTCAATAAATCTGTATAGCTGAGGTTAAAAGCCTGGGCTCTGGAGCCATATGTCCTCCTAAAGAAGCAAAACAAAATCTTAAGCTAATCTAATCCATCAGTAGATTCACTGTCCATAAGGGACAGGTGCTGCCTCTTCCTACTAGCTGTACAACCTTGGATGATTGACATAACTTCTCCAAGCCTCACTTTACTCACCCATAAAATGGAGATAATAATAGTTTCTACTTCACTAGGTCATGAGAATAGAATAGGCCTTGCACAGGGTAAATGCTCAATGGATAATAACCATTGGTCCATGAGGGGTACAAAGATGGGTGAGACCTATTTCTGCCCCCCAGGACTGGGATGTACTGGGGTAGAAATACACATGGACAGGTAATTATAGAACAAAACAGAACCAAGTGCTAAATAGAGGCATCTGTCAGAGGAAGGGGAGATTTTTCTGTCTGGGAAACTAGGAAAGGCTCTCAGACAGAATTGTACTCTAAACTGGGTCTTAAAGAAGGAACAGAATTTCAAAAGGAGAAGGGGTTAGGGAACGCTCAATGCTGAGTCACGGAGCAAACATGAAGAGGTAAGAAAAAGCCCTCTGGGTATACGCAAGCTCTATAATTCATCCACAGGCTTTGGAGAGATGCACAGAAGGAATGATCATACCCTAGGTTAAAAAACAAAGTTTATAAATGCAAAACGTTGTAGTTATGCTAGCGTATCAGATGAAAGTGAAGATATGAAATTGAGAAATATGAGAAAACACGTATACAATAAAAACTCTCCCATTTTAGAGAGTATTTCCATCAAAATAAGACACACTTCCTTAAGGATTAAGAGAAATGTATGGGAAGTAGAAAATTTAACCGTAAAATCTAAAACAGAGGTGAAATTGATTCCTGTGCTCAGCCTCCTAAAATATATTGCAACGTTCTCCTCCCTAAAGTGTATTTTCAAAAATTACATCTTATTTTTTTATTGCCAAGAAATAGTTGAACCGGTCTATATCCAGGCTGTCACTGAAGGATTTTGATGTTTTACGAACAGTGACAATGGCCACAGCCATGAAAAATAAAAATGACTTGACCCAAGCGTTTTAGAAGCAGAGTTTGTTTCCACCTAGTTATCCCGAGCCAGTGTTGCAAGCATAAATTATAGAGCAGCTCTCCGAAAATGCACAGCAAAATATGCCATCATTCCCACGGATGATCGACATTTACCTTTAGGAAGATTGTTCAAAGGTCACAAGAGAATTATGTTAGGAATTCAGCCACAGTTTGATGGGAGGATAATGGCATCTAGAGAATTTAGAAGTGATAAGAAGCCCACGCAGACTAAGTCACTCCTTGCCCCCCCCCACCCCCACTTGGAACTCACCTGAACTCACCTTATTCTACTCACCAGAATATGTCAGGCACTCAGGAGACAAGTTTGGGCTAGCTAAATTTACTGAGCACTTAAAAATATGGTAGACCTCATGTTAAGGACTTTACATGTGTTCATTTAACCCTCACTTCTTAAGAAATCTATAGTAGTATTCCTGTTTTATAGGTAAAAATTCTGAAGTGTTACTCTACCCAGGGTCTCAGAGGCTAGTAAGTGGTGGAGCAGGATATAAACCCAGAGGGCTGACTCGAGGGCCCACCCCCTCAGTCTCTGTGATTTATGGCCTCAATTCGGAGTCATCTGCATACAAATAGTAATTGATATGGGGACTGTATCATTTGTTTCCTTCCCAAATGGGACATTTAGGGGGAGGGTCGCTATTAACGATTATGCTGGGAAAGCAGACGTAAACCAGAAAAGCTGGGGCAATTAGGAGTGTTTGTTCACCTTACGGATGGACGCCAAGAGCGTGGATGAATCCACCAAAGGAAAGAACGTTGAAGAAAAGAAGAAAGGAGCCAATGAGTGGGCCTTGAGAAAGACCGACGTTTGGGGATGGCCAGAGGAAGAGAAACTCACACAGGATACCGGGGGAGGTGAGACAGGAGACCAGGGTGTCAGAGTCTCCGGCAGAGTCGTGGAAGGGAGTCACCATCGGTGCCCCAGCCCCAAGGAGCTAGGAATGCTACAGATGTGATAACGACCGAGAAGTAGTCGCTGAAAGGAGCAACAAGGAAATCGCTGGGGATTTACTGACAAACGTTTCGCTTTGGTGGAGTTGGAAGCCAAAATCAAGTAAAAGGAGGAGTGAGTGGGAGGTGAGGACCCAGACACAGCCAGTTCAAACAACTTTGCAAAAAGTGGCCTTGAAGGGGAAGCAAAAGATAGGACTGTCTTGGAGGTGGAGTCAGACGTTTCCTTTCTTTTTTAAAGCAAGAAACTAGAATGTGTTTAAGGTTTAAAGAAAGGAGTCAGCCCCAGGAGATTGAAGGAAACATAGAAAGCACAATTCTCTCCTCTCCGGGGGACCTCCTGGAGCAAAGTGCCTGAGGATGTAGGAGGACCAGCCACCTGAGCTGAGGGATCACCTTTACACCTGAGGAGGTACAGCTCTGCCCCTTTGGGAGGGAGGAACGGGGAGCTGTGGGTTTGAAGTTTGAGGGAGGCAACCAGAGCGAGCTGCCTTCTGCCGGCTCAGCATTCTTCCCACAGGGAGGGGTTGCTGTGCGGGGGGTTTAAAGGTGCCTAATGCACGTCGGCACTGGCCTAGACCTCTGATGGACGCTGACCTTGATCTCTTTTCATCTTCACTATTATTGAGTGACATGGGGGATATTACCCCTGTTTGACACCAGAAAAAAACCGTGGCTCAGGGCAGTGGGCAGGCAAGAGCGCACGGCTGTTCAAGGCCAGACTCCACATCTGACTATGTCGTCTCCTCGAAGTGAAAGCCAGGTCACTGCCTTCCAGTATCTTTCATTCCTGTTAGAGGAGTAACAGGTAGGGAGTTAGCAAATGTAGGGTTTTTTTGTTGTGTTTGGCCTCACCACGTGGCTTTTGGGATTTTGTAGTTCCCCGAGCAGGGACCAAACCCTGCCCTTGGCAGTGAGAGCTTGGAGTCCTAACCACTGGACCGCCAGGGAATTCCCACAAGTGTAGTTTAAATAATGGTTTGAGACCAGAATGTGGAAGTTCGTCATAGGCTGTACGTGATTGAAATCATATTTTGTTTATATGAATTGCTTTGATTTTTTTACTTTAGGAGGTCCTTTTGTAAAACACAAGGTTTTTGTTTGTTTGTTTGGTTGGTTGGTTTTTTTTAATGAGGCTCTTTGGATAAAGGCTCCATAGTTTATCTTTGTTTTTATAGAAGTTACCTGCATATCAGGTATTATGAACCCGCACTTCATTCATAAAGGATGTCCCCTGCGTTTCTTTGTATAATCCATAAGAAATTTTTATATTGGACTATTACTATGCGGAAAATATGCTGCCTTAAGGATTTTTAAACTTGCTAATTTTCAACTTCTTCAAATGTGTGAAATTCTTCTGTTGATACTTTGTTACAAAAGAATCACAAATTAAGACTGGTCTGGTGAGGATGGTATGGATACAAACGGAATTATGTCCACAGTGATTCCTGCCTCCACAAGGAAAACTTGTGGTTACATTAATCTAAATTTTCAAAGATCGTTAATCTAAATTCAATTTTCTATTTATGCCACATGTTTCTGAGATTTTAGCTGTGGTGTATAAGAACTAACTGAATAACCAAGTGAGATATATAGGCCATATGACATATGTGTTGGGATGGGGCAGAGAAACCATGAGAGTTGTTGCGGGATGGGAGCCAAACTTGCAGAATGACACCTGTCACAGCCCCAGGTATACACGGTGTTTTCTAAATTTTTACTGAATTAATGGGCTGCAGAGCTGAGGCCTATATTATAGGTGAGGGGTGTGGGATTAAAATCGGTCTTTCCAATGGCTAATATTTGGAAATCATCTTTCTATTGCTTTATGTATCACGGTATCTCACAGTACTTTCATGCATCTTTAAAAATGTCTCCTAAAACCACTTTTTAAAATAATAGGCCTGCATTATTTTCCCATTTTTGTGTTTACAGAGGAGTAGAATGTTAACTGACTTGCCCCAAATCGAAAGGTCAATCTCTTGAGAATCCCCACCTGCAGAAAAGAGAGGTTTGCTTTCCTAACGAGAAGTTTGAATCTTTTGCTTTTCTCTTTTCTTTGGAAACTTTACATGATACGCAATTTAATTTTTGACCAGTTTAAATTCCACATAGAATACTAAACAAATACCGAGAACTGGTAAGCTGTATAGGTGAGTTCACGAAAAATCATTTTCTTATTTGTAACATCTATTCCATTAACGTTTAAGGGGATCTTGGATAGTTCAAACATAGATCTGATCACCAAAAATGCAGTTAGAAGGAAATAAAGTATTTATATTCCTAATACAGTGGTTGCATTAAGACGGTTAGTCATATGCAAGAAACTTCTAAACTAGTTAGAAGTACTTCCTACAACTAATCAAAACAACGTCCTAATTGTTAGTGATTACCTCTGTGATTTAAGACTTCTTTGCAGGGTCTCCACAGTAACTGGCCTCTATATCTTTGCCACTCTTCCTTTAACTAAAGATATTAGGAAAAGAAAAAAACTAACCTAATTTCTACAACACATTGATTAACGAAGAACAATGCTATGTGTTTGGTTTGCGATAGTTATAAAGCAATAGTCAGTGATTTACAAGTGATGGTTTATGAAGCTATTAAAAAGGCAATTATCCCCAAATGGAAATCTAAGCAAGATGCCTAAACGTAATTTATTATAGTAGTAGCCATTATTAATGTATATTTCTGTCAGAGCTTTAGCCAAAGCCCAAATTTTACTTTGAAAACAGAAAAACATGGAACTACTTATAATTATGATTTAAGGAATCATCATAAAGCTCTTTTAAAAATCGATTTTAATTTGAGGCTGGAGTCACAGATTGCCTTGGATCATCCGCCTATCTCCTCCCTCCCCTTTGACTCTTCCTACTGGCTTTGATATTTCATTTACATACATCAGTTCTAGCTGTTAGCTCCTTTGATATTTGTCTGTGTCCATTTTCTTACCCCTCCTCTTGAGAGAAGAGACTGCCTTTTTATACCTACTCCTTGCACCTAGCACAATATCTAGTTCTCAATGAATTCCTTAATGAATGAATGAATGCGTCAGTTGATCTATAAAATACCTACCAAAACTAATAAGTTTTGCAAATTTGAAGCAAAGAAAAACTCTTAAGCCAAAAAGATCACTGATCTGACTGTTTTCAAATCCCTTTTTTGTTTCATTTTTATAAATAAAAGCTTTGAAAATGGAACTTACCAACTTTTTTTTTTTCCAGACCAGAGAAGATTCAGCTCTCCAAATTATTCTTCACTCACACTTCTGAAAAAAATCACTTTGTTTTTATTAGGTTTTGTTTTTAATGCTTGGCATCTTAGTTTTTAAATGATTTTTTTCCCCACAGTTATAGTCCTGAGGATGTCTGATTTGTTAATTCTGTTGTGACAGGAAGTTTATCAAGAATTTCATGAATTTCCTTTCAGTTTCAGCTTCTAACTGGAATGCTTCTTTCCAGTCATTTCCCCCTCCCTTCTTGCCTACAGTCCAATCTGCGTGTTGCATTGCAGAAGAACAATAAGAAATTCTTAGGCGGGCATTTTTGCCCAGTTTTGGCTCCAAGCCCTTGGAACACCATCTGGGTGGATTAGGTTCACTGGTCAGGATATAGGGCAGCCAGAATTTCTCAAACACTGTGAGACTCTGAAATCTGTAGAAGTTTGTTTTGGTTATTCTAAAATCCAGGTCTTTTAATTTTTGCATGTCTCTTGCTTGAGATCAAGGTATGGGATGAGACATATCTATATCCTCACTTGACCCCCCCCAACCCCCTAAGTACGCATGGACCCCTCTCCCTAGCAGGCAGAGTAAAGGATTACCTGCCTGTGCTTAAAGGCACACTGAAACACTCTTCTCCCATCTTGCCCCCAAATATTTCCCTGACATGAGCCAAGCTTTTGGATTCAGACTCACCTGCAGGGGTTCTGCTCTAAGGGGTGTCTCCTACAGGGACAGGCTTTGCCATCAGTAGTTTTAAATCTTAGCTCCATCACATGAAGCTCCTTCCCTATAACATGGAAAGAATAAGAACCTTCTCACAAATCAGATAACATTTACAAAGCACTTGGCATCTGGTAGCTGTCCAATAAATGTTAATTTTGCTTTATTCAAAATCTTTCACTTGCTTCTTCTCATTTTATCTTCACAGAACCCTGCTAGACAAACGGCACAAATATTGTAACCCCCTTTTACAGACGATTAACCGGGTGTTCTGAAACTTGCTCAATGAATTATTATTGATTATAATATTTATAATTATATATATAATAATATATTATATTATATAATAATATAATATTATATATAATATATATTATATATAATTATAATTATGACTATTAGAAATAGTCATTCATCCTGACTATTTGTCAGGGCATTGTTCTAACCACTTTATATTTAATCTTCAGATCAAATCTCTGAAGTGGGTGCTAAAAGTCCCATTTTACAGATGAGGAAAATTAAGGCAGAGAAAGGCTAAATAAGTTGTCCAGGGATAAAGAACTAGCAAAAAGAAGAGCTGAGATTCAAACCCAGATAGTGTGGCTCTAAAAGCAATGCTCTTCACCAGTATATTTAAGAGCCTCCGTTTTCCACAGCTTTTAAGTAGCGGATTTGACTCACATTGTGAGTTCAGATCTAGGGACTTCATACTCAGAGAAGGAATGCATTGGGCCATGTAAACACAGTACCACTGAAGGAGAGAGCGCTGGGTTATCACATCTGCCAGCCTAGGGGAGGGAACTCCAGTGGAAGGGGATGATGTCCTCTACTCTAGGACAGGGGTCCACAACCCCCAGGCTGTGGACTGGTACAGGTCCGAGGCCTGTTAGGAACAGGACCACACAGCAGGAGGTGAGTGACAGGTGAGTGAGCGAAGCTTCATCTGCTGCTCCCCCCGTCGCTTCCCATTGCTCGCATTACCGCCTGTGCCATATCCCCACCCCCGCCCCATCCATGGAAAAATTGTTGTCCATGAAACCAGTCCCTGGTGCCAAAAAAGGTTGGGGACCGCTGCTCTAGGGGACTAGAACAGAATATGACAAGAGTCCAGCCCAGAGAGGGCACATATAGCTGGGGTGGCACAGGAGCCCTGAAAACACTGGGAAAGGTTTTCCCCTTCACTTTGCACTTTGGAGACTTGGGTCTAGGGTAGAGTAATCCTGTTCACAAAGACCCCTGAAAGTCCACTGCACCTGCTCATTCTATTTTCATGGCACTTAGCACTTTCAACTTTTTATTACAGTTATCAATGAATATATCTGATCTGCTCCTGAAGGGCGAGACCAGGTTTTATTCATTTTTATATGCTCCATGTGGAGCATTTAGTCAGTGCTTAGTGTAAGTTGGATGAATAAATGAATATAAACTAGTGAACATGCCTGAGCCCCAAGGGGATCTGGAGTTTGCTTAATTATGTTTTATTTTGTTGTACCACAATGAGCAAAATCCTAGTTTTAAGCTTTTTATCTGATAGCAAAAACATTTAAATGAAGATTCATATAAGCCAATATTTTAAACTGTTCTCTTAGTGGAGCACTTATGTACTCCATCCATCTTCATGTTTTTATTTTTGTACTCATACCCATTTAAAACCACAAATAGTAGAGCTTTAAAAAACCAGATGTGTAATTTAATAATAGCTATCCACCACACCTATTAAAATGTTTACTAATGCATGAAAGCCTACGAATATCAAGCCACAGCAGATTTTAACAGCTTCTGTGTAAGTGTGTGAAGTGGATGCCATGTTCCTCCCCATGTGAGATTTGCCAGTAGTATTTTAGTGTGTTTCCACCTTTTATTCATTAGTGGATATGGCTGTAAATGGCAGCTTGAAATAAACTCGATCTGAAGTTCTGAAGACAAGTTTCACAACTTCTGACGTTTTATTCAGTGTAACTGGGGAAGAAAAATCTTTTCCTCTACACTTTTAGGTTCAGTGTCTGGGGCCCTGTGAATAAAACTAACAAAAGATAGATTAACAGGAGAAAAGGCACACAATTTTTGTTAATATTTATGTGCAAAAAAGTTCACAGAAAAGGAATGAAACTCAAAGAAGCAGTGAAACTTGGGCTTATATACTATTTGGGTTTTTTTTTTTTGTTACGCGGGCCTCTCACTGCTGTGGTCTCTCCCGTTGCGGAGCACAGGCTGCGGACGTGCAGGCTCAGCAGCCATGGCTCACGGGACCAGCCGCTCCGCGGCATGTGGGATCTTCCCCGACCAGGGAACGAACCCGTGTCCCCTGCATCGGCAGGCAGACTCTCAACCACTGCGCCACCAGGGAAGCCCGGGCTTATGTACCATTTTAACAAAGAACAAAGGGTATGAGTTTCAAGGGATGATAAATTGTGGGGAAGGGATTTATGGGGGTACTAATGGAAAATAAGGGCTCTTTTAGTAAGGTTTGTTTATGCAGACTCATCTCGGGGTTGACAATTCACTGTCTTCTTCCTTGGCTCTTCTCTCCTTGCTGGGGGAAAGGGCACCTTCCTCAAAAGGAAATTTATGCCGTGCTTTTAGGTTCATAGTGGGAGGGCAGAAAACTCTTCCTGTATCTATTGATTCTCAGTGGCCTTTAGCTAAAATATTTCTTATGCCAAAGCATCTTTGGGGGTGGCATAATCTGACCTTCAAATGAAACACTAAGAATATTACAGCTGAAACACACGTGAATTATTTCCAATTTTATTTATTTCTTACAAGTCCCATTAATAAGAAACAGTTGCTCGCTTGTAAAAGAAATCTGTTTTTAATAATACCTGGCATATGTGCTCTTCCTTTCTGCGGCCTGTTGCATTTCATTAAATTCCTTTTAAGTTATTAAAATTGATTTAAGACTATATAAAGTATATTTACAAAAAGGGGAGGGGGAGGCAAGTCACCCATAATCCTACTGTCCTATTAAAAACTGGTTTTTGCCTATTTTCTTTCAGTGTGATCCATGCATATCTATTTTATACCATTTCAGGGAAATGGGGCACACATATGGTAACTTCCTCAACTTAACAGTATATATCACACTCTCCATGTTCTTGCTTGATATAATCCTCAGTATTTAACAGCTGCAACATTTGCCTAACCATTCTCCAGTTGTCAGACTTCTGGGCGGCCTCCAGGCCGGTAGTGGGGTATATTGCGGTGGTTGTACCTCCAGCCCGGGAGGGCAGGGCCCCCACCCCCACCCCCCCCCCCCCCGCCAGGTGGAACCTGGGTTTCCTGGGTGTTCAGAGTTACGTCTCAGGCAGAAACTGCGTGCAGGCCAACCAGGGCTTCTGGCTCCAGGCTCCCTTCCTTCCGGGCTGAGGGTAGCGGAGCCCCGCCCCTGCAGGTGCCCCAGGCTAAAGTTCCATCCCCGTCCCCGGGCCCTCCCAAACCGTCCTGCCCGAGGTGGACCCTTCCCATATGCTCTCTCCTTCTGTCCTAGCCATCCGCAGAGCCACCGAGTGAAAGGAAGGAGCTAGGCGGCGCGTCCCGGGCGTCATGGTCCACCTGCTCGCCTCCGAAGTGCGGCAGCTACTTCACAACAAGTTCGTGGTCATCCTGGGGGACTCGGTCCAGAGGGCCGTGTACAAGGACCTGGTGCTCCTGCTGCAGAAGGACTGCCTGCTCACACTCAGCCAGCTCAAGGCCAAGGGAGAGTACAGCTTCGAGCAGGACGAGCTGGTGCAGGGGGGCAAACAGGGCCGCATGCATAACGGCACCCACTACCGCGAGGTGCGCCAGTTCTGCTCCGGCCAGCACCTGGTGCGCTTCTACTTCCTGACGCGCGTGTACTCCGACTACCTGGAAGCCATCCTGGAGGAGCTGCATTCGGGTGAGCACGACCCGGACCTGGTCATCATGAACTCCTGCCTCTGGGACCTCACCAGGTACGGGGAGGACTCCTGGCCGAACTACCTGCAGAACCTGGAGAGCCTGTTTGGGCGCCTGCGCCAGGTGCTGCCCGAGTCGTGCCTCCTGGTTTGGAACACGGCCATGCCCGTGGGCAACAACATCAATAGCGGCTTCCTCCCGCCCGAGCTCCGACCCGCGGCCTCCACACTGAAAACCAACGTGATTGAGGCCAACTTCTACAGCTCTGCCGAGGCCCAAAAGCACGGCTTCGATGTGCTGGACTTGCACTTCCACTTCCGCCGCCACACAGGGAAGTACCTGCAGCCCGACGGGGTGCACTGGAACGAGCGAGCGCATCGGCATCTCTCCCAGCTTCTGCTGGCCCACGTGGCCGACGCCTGGGGGGTGGAGCTGCCCCAGCGTGACCCAGTGGGCAAGTGCATCAAGGATGGCCCCGCGAGGGCAGGACCTGGCAGGAGACTTGAGAGGCAGCTCCCAGCCTGCAGAGATCAACCGGCCTTCCCTCCTCCTCACCGACCCTTGCCTCTGCCTGGGTGCTGCCCCCTGCTCCCCACGCCATCTCCCCGCCCACCCCAGTTCCCACTCCTGCCCCCAAAACCCCTTCCCATCCCCCTTCAGCAGGTGACACCCCCGTTCCTTGTCTGTCCCCAAGATGCCGATTTTTCTTCAGACCATCCTTTCCAATCGGATCAGTTCTCCTTGAACCATTTCCATTCAGATATTCTCCCATCTACCCAGACAGAATTTGCCTTCGATGGTGACTTTATGTTTAGCCCCCAGCCACCTAGGCTCCCCTTCCCCCAACCCTGTTATCAGCAGCGGGCCCCTGTGGTCCATAGGGGTTTTCCCCGGTATTGTCCCCGTGGCCCCTACTTGCCCTGGAGAGGGCGGCCCAGAAATTCCAAGAGAAGGGCCCCAGCCTATAGAGAGCCAAGGCCTCAATAGACTGACTTGGGTGTCTTCCTCCTCATGCACATGGACTGGACAGATCGCCCGACTCTCCCCAGGAAGACTGACCTTGTTAACTGAAGTCTTTGGTCCATTGCTGTTATCAATAATGGCAGGGAAGGGCAGTCTGACCTATTCTTGCTGGCTGTCGCCTCTCACTGCTCTCTGCGAGGGGGAACCAGGCATCATTCCTGCCTCCCCACTGCCTATTCTCTTTGTCTTTTTGTAAATATAAAATTGAAATTAACAAGTTGTTTCATAAAAGTCGTTGTGGGTTTTGTGAGTCTGTATTTAATGGTGCCTCTCCCTTCCATTGAACACTTAGCTTCATAAGAGCAGGGACAGTATCTGCTGTAGAGTTACGGCCTCTTGATAAACTACTCAAAATGGAATTTCTCTAAAGGGTTTCCATAAAATGGATCTGATTCCTTACAAATAAATAAAAGAACTTTAACTTTTTGTGGTGATATTTTCCAGAGATTCTCGAAGAATCATGGAATTTTAGAGCTGAGAAAACTAAAAACATAAAATTTAACTAACATTTACAAACAGGGAATCTGAAGTCAAGAGGTGAGTGACTTGTTCTAGGTCACACAGAAAAATCACTCCTCCACTAGTCTTTCACAGTTTATACTAGTATCAGTTTATATTAACTTTCAAACTTGATTTATACTGCAACAAACCAGGAAGGGAAGTTTACCAAGCATGGTCTTTCTATGGAAGTGATGATGAAAAACCCTTATAGCTCCATAACCAGAGGTTTATTGGTTATGTAAACTAGAGTGAATGGCATGCTTATGACCTTATGATTTCTTTAATAGTCTTGAGTTTGGGGCTTGAGAAAATTAAGTTGCACTCAATGACAATATGAATCATCATAGAGTAAAACTAGGAGTTGGAAGGGACCACCCAGTGCACAAATCCCTTCCTTGTAAATTGGACAGGTGGACACCACCATCTCTTCTCTGTTTTGTAAGAATGTTAACATCATTGAGATTAAATGTTAGGCCCTTTGTCACACTAGACTAGTGAAATGTTAATGCCTAGATAAAACAGTCAAAATAAGGCATGACTAAAATTGTCCAGATAACAGGGTTTTTCATTGAATTGATTTGACTGTTTTACAGGTCCTCAATTGGACCATCCCTAACGTTGGCAATGAGGGTAAGGAAATGTTATTCCGCAAAAATGGAATCCATGAAATCACAAGACATGGATGAGATCAGCTATTTACAGAAGAAATACGCGGAAACTTTTAATCCACTAAAACACCGTAAGAAAATAGGGCCTTTATCTTACTTATCTTTGGGTCTGAAACCCTAGCACAATGTCTGGAACTTAGTAAGTACTGAATAATATTTCTTGAATGAATCCGTGAGTGAATGATGAGGTGGAGTATGTGTTCCTGGTGAGACTACATGAGATGAGGTAAACTGACATTTAATCTTTGTGGTCCATTCGAGGGAATCTTACCAAAATAGGGTCATGATGATCTTTGAGGACTCTAGAAAGGTAGTGCCTACAAGTCAAAATTTGCCAGAATGTCCCAACATAATCAGGAGAGGGACCCGTCTGACCAGTGTAAATGTTCTCATCCCATGGAGATGAGTGTAGTAGGCTATGAGATTTGGTAACATTAGGCATCAAGATGAGCCCGTTGCCATCATTCTGGCTTTACAATTCCCAAGCAAGATCAAGCAACATTTAGCTGCTGATCTAAGTAAATTGACCCACTTAGTATTTCTACTTCCATGAATAAGCCAATTAATTGATGTGTTGTGGTTTATATCTCGCTCTTGTGAGTTAAGTTAGTATGTATTCATCCTCCTTAATCTGATCATGCCTAATGAACCAAGGAGAATGAGTTCCTAGACATACAGTGCTGGGCACCAGACACTGACTCGATGATGACTCCACTATGTTATGGATTAAGTGGCACCGATCACTTAACAGTCCTGTTTCTCTTAGTTGTTTAGGAGTACGGGTAAACTCAGATAATCTTCTTCCTACGTGTATTAATTTCCTATGGCTGCTGTAACAAATACTACAAACATGGTGGCTTAAAACAACACGTATTTATTCTCTTACAGTTCTGCAGCTCAAAAGTCCAAATCCATTAGCCCAGAGTAAAATCCTTACTATGTCTTATGCTGTCCTACATGATCAGGCTTCTGCTTGTCCCTGCAGTGTTATCTTTTGGAACTCTCTTCGTTGTTCTTTACATTTTCAACCCCACAGGGCTTCTTTGTATTTTTACAAGATGTCAAACTGTTGTATAACTTGGGTCTATGCACTTGCTATTCCATTTGCCTGGAATGTTCAACATCCTCTACTCCCTAGTTCTTTGGATATCTAACTCTTCATCCCTCCCCCCACACCTTCCAAGTCATCTCCTAAGTGGCCTTCCATGACCATCTAAGAGTGCTGTTAGGATCATCATAACACACTCTTTAACTCCTTTGTGTTGCTCCCCACTCAGTGGCGTCAATGGCTGCTTGTTTGTTAGCTTCTGCAGGAGTCTTGCTTGCTGTTGAATTCCCAATGCCTATTAGCATGGTGCCTGGCAAAGAAGGTGTTCAAGCATGTTTACTTTAGTTAAATGTTCAAGAATACAATTACTTCACATTCTATCCTTAAGTAAGAATGCAATTTATATCAGAATTGAGCTGTATATTTTTACTTTTCTTTCCAAACTGTCTACAGAACTCTCCTATAACTTTACCTCAGTCATTCTGGGAAGCTAACGCCCCCTGGACCTCCCCACCCCCACTGGGAGTTAGAGCCTGAGGGCACCTTCAATGGCCTTCCTGTTAATTTCCTACCTATCCTGACCTTATCTTCCAGCCTAGAGCTTTCTTCTGTGCCCATTTGTTTTGCTATTGTCTTCTTGTTCCTTAAGTCAAGAAACCTAGCAATGCAATCAAGCTATTGTCTGGTAAAAAGAGCCAAAATTATTCAACCTTTATGAGAGAAATTATTGCTCTATTGTTAAGACTTAGAATTCAGGGTTCATTTGGCCTATTCTTTCCAGCCTCAAGAAATGACAGCTTTTTTATATTTGACTCTTGTCTGCAGTTTTCTGGGGAAAAAAAAAAAAAGAGGAAAATTAATGATTAAATTAACATCTGTGCAGCATATTTCTCACAAGATTCTGTAATAAGATATACTATGTTATACCAAAAGCCAAAACTTTAAAGCTGTAACTTTTTTTTTTTTCGTTAATACAAGCAAAGCAAGGCCCAACATTTGAAAACAAATGGAAACTTACATCCTCCCACAGGATCAGGATCAGCCCCATCCCTGGTCAGCCACAGAGCTCTTGTTCGTTCCCATGCGCCTCCCTCCAGCTTCCCACTCCCAACCCCTCCCCCGCATCTGCATTGCATAACAGCCAGGGACAATTTTCATTTTAAATTCTGGAGTTGTATGTAGCAGCAGCTCCATCTCTGGAGCTTTCAGTTCACGAATTCCGCAAAGGTAAGTTGTTTTGAAAACGTAGATCATGTCAGAGAAAGGATTTACCATTGTTTTCAGCTACTGTATGTTTGTTGCTATAAACTAGAAACAGTATTCTCATTGTCACAACTTTAAGAAAAGCCTTTATTACTGCATGCTTAATTTATAGATATAATTCTTCATGAGACTTTACCCATTAATCTTTAAAGAAACATGTTCTAAAACATGTCCCTTTAAGCCATAATCTTTACTCCTCATGCATTCTGTGGGCAAGGATGCTTACAAAAGGGTTCGCTCTACAGTCACCCCACGTGGAAACTCACAATGGCTTTTAACGCATCAGAGGCTCTGAGAAGTTCTGTATGAAATAAACTTGAGTAAATGTATTTAACCTAGTATTTCCAAGATTTATTTAACCACAGACCACTTTCATATGTAGCATCTTTTAAAAGCATGTTTGGGGAAATATTATGCTAGAGAAGTCCAGATAAAACAGTTGGGCTACGTGAAGAGAAAAGGTTTGTTGGTGACACTTTATATATGAAGCCCTTTTCAAATGGAGCATTATAATGATCTGTGCCCAAATATGGGCTAAAATTTATCAGATAAACCTGGGACAAGTCTGAGATTAGCTAGTTAATCAAAGTGGGATGAAATGTACAAGGAATGGTTGCCCTCTTCTTCCCCTAAGATGGGGGAGGCATCAGGACAGCCTTCCTTGACAACAAGCATTGGGGCGGGTCTACTCCAGCCTGCAGAGTATGGCGTGGAGTGGAGGTATCCCACCCCAGGTATTTGATGCCCAACACAGGGTCACAGAACATCCTAAGACACATCCCAGTGGAGCATGGTAATGGGAAGTGGAGAATAAACAATATTCTGAAACTGAGCAGAGATAGTCATTCAACACAGCACCCTCTGCCTATGGACTGAATGTTTGTGTCCCCCACCACCCCAAATCATATGTTGAAACCCTATCCCACCATATGATGGTATTAGGAGGTGAGGCTTTGGGGTGATAATTAGGATTTGATGAGGGCATGAGGATGGATCCCTCATGAGTGGGATTAGTACACTTGTAAGTTTCACAAGAGAGCTTGCTTCCTCTCTCTGCTCCTTGCCGTGTGAGGGCACAACAAGAAGTTGGAAAAAGAGGGGCCTCGCCAGAATCCAGCCATGCTGACACCCTGATCTCAGACATCCAGGATCCAGCACTGTAAGAAATAAATTTCTATTGTTTAGAAGCCACTCAGTCCACAGTACAGTAGACTCCCTTATCCAGTTTCACTTTCCATAGTTTCAGTTACCTGTGGTCAATTGTGGTCCAAAAATATTACAAGGAAAATTCCGGAAATAAGCAAGTCATAAATTTTAAATTGTGCACCACTCTGAGTAATGTAATGAAGTCTCTCACCCACCTACCCCCAGTCCACCCGACCCAGGATGTGAATCGTCCATTTGTCCAGTGGATCCCACCCATTGGTCACTTAGTAGAGGTCTGGATTATCAGATCAACTGTTACTCTGTCACAGTGCTTGTGTTCAAGTACCTTTTATTTTACTTAATAATGACCCAAAGCACAAAAGTAACTATGCTGGCAATTTGGATATTCTCTTACTGTGCCTAATTTATAAATTAAACTCCATCATAGGTA